TTGCAGATTCATATGCAGACTGAACTGCACATTGTGCATAAGGGTTATCATCATGTAGTCCACATGGGTAAAGGGCTTCGCCAGGGTTGCAGCATTGCTCCGATGATATATGCTGCATGGACATGTCGACTCTGCCAACAGCTGGAGCAGCGCTTGGGTGCAGGTTGGCCTGGCAAACATCTGTCGGTCTACGCGGATGACAAGCATGGCTACTGGACCATACGGAGTATCAATGACCTCACGGAGGCTCGCCGACAACTGGGACTGCTCATTCACACCATTACTGAGCTTGGCATGAAGGTCAATGGAGCTAAGTCCAGGGTGGTCCTTGTCCTAAAGGGAAGACTGCATGCTCAGCTCATGAAGCGGTGTACCAAATACTGGAAAGGTCACACCTGTTTGATTGTCAACAGCCCTGCGGGAACCATGTATATTCCGGTTCAGCCGAATCTTGAATACCTTGGAGTCAAGCTCAGCTACGGCAGATTCGAGGTTCAGGCTGCGCAACATCGTGTGCAACAAGCTCATGCTGTCTTCAACCAGCTCAAGGCGCCTCTGAGAATCAATGGCCCACTTAGTAGGAGGCACCGGTTGCGACTATACAAAGCCTGTGTTATGCCGTCGCTCTTGTATGGGCTGGTGAGTGTTGGATGCAACATGGAGACTGTCAAGCTCCTCTCCAGCACCATCTCGAGGCACTTGCGCAAGGTCCTTCGCATCCACGAGAAAGGGGTCTCCAATCAAGCTGTTCTTCAGCAGGCCGGTATTGACATTTGGGATGATCTTGGTCGGCGCTTCCAAACCCAACAGAAAGCCATACAGCTCGACTCAGGACGTTCTGCACAACTGCGGCTACGTGAGGGCGCTCGAGCCGAGCACCTACTTCAGCAATTTCAAAGAGTGCAAGAAGTGGGTCAATCCCGTCTGGATTCCTCACTTCTCAAGAACATACCGGATGCTGTTTCTCACCCGTGCCCGGCATGTGGAGTGTACTTTGGCACCAAGTCTGGGCTGGAACAACACATCCACAAGAAGCATCCAGAGCTCGAGAGGCAGGCACAAGTAGTGTTTGATCGATCGCAGCATTGTCTATTCGGTACCCCAACATGTCGCTTCTGTCGACAGAGGCTCACGGACTGGCAATCTATGCGCAAGCATCTCACACAGGGCATGTGTCCTACCTTGAAAACAGCCTTTGCCCAAGGTAAGAATCTGGATAATGTAATGGCTGAGGTCATTTTGGAGGAAACCAAAGATCCTCCCCCTCCACCAGCAGCAGAGTGGAAGCAGGAGCTGCCGCTTCTTCAAAGACATCACGAAGTACTTACTGTTCCCACTCATCGGCTGGTTCAACACGCTGAGTTCATTAAGTCCTGCACTGGTCAATGTGTACTTTGCCGGCAACGCATTGCTGGCTCAGGCCATATCAAATCTCACTGGCGCACAGGACACCCTGCGGCATGGCGACGAACATCGGCTCTGGCAGAATCACTTGCAGGCAGTATGTCATCCGTATTCTGCTCGCCATGTCAGTTCTGTGGAAGTCAGGCCAAGGACTCCAAAGCACATTCTCGCAAGTGCCCCAGCTTCTTTCAGATTGCAGCAGCTAGACAGCTCTACCAAGAACAAGCCTCACCCCAGGACTATGCATATCAGCAACCCACTGCTCCGAAGCAGGACAAGTCAAATCCTCAGTATCTCAACTATGTCGCTCCTATTCAGCGTGCTCTACAAGGCAAGCTCATCTTCGCCAGCAGTACAGGTGCTTTACCACCGGAAGCCGCATCCTCGCTTCCTCCTACTATGTCTGTGCCCAAGTCAAAACAAGATGGTACAATCAAGAGCTTCTTTGTCTCCAGCAGTGCACTGTCCGAGCAGACCTCACATGATGTACCTGCTCCACCTGAAGGCCCATGGCAATGTCGCGTAAGGTTGGCTAACCCGCACAATCTATGCTACATCAATGCAGGCTTCCTTGCGATGACGCATGCGCTGCATTGCGCAGGCATCACGCTTGGCTCCCTGGAGGCAACTGTCACCCTTGCCAAAAAGGCGGCCGACAAGGGCACTGCTCTCAGACTCACACAAAGTCATCGCTTTCGACAACTTCTCCCTAACTGGGTGTATGACGAGGTGCAAAGGGATTCGGCGGAGTATGTACAGCAGCTCCTCCAGGCCCAGCAGATACACTCAGTGATATGGGACGCCAGAAAACTGACTCTTGCAGGACTCCAGCTGCGGGCTCAAGGGGACATACCGATTCCCATGCCTATTCTTCGAACAGCCCGAGACCTACAGGATATCATCTACCACTGGCACCAATCAGGAGACATGCATGCTCTTGCTCACGAGACGGTCTGCCTATGCGTTCAGCTCAATCGATATGTACGCCTAGGTCAAGCTCGCAAGCTCACAACGGCAATTCGCTTTGACAGGCCTGTCTTCTTTCCAAGATTCACCATGCATTTGCAGACAACGTGGGATAAATTTCAAGTGGTGGCGGCAGTTGTTCATCTTGGCAGGACTACACAAAGTGGACACTATCGCTCGCTTCTCAAGGTCGGGGCCCACTGGATGTACACAGACGACTCATGCTTTGCAACTCGGACGGACATTACTGCCGAGCATGAGGCCAATGTGTATGTTCTATGGCTCCAGAGTTGCTAATCCCATTCTCCCCTCACTGGCCCCATCCCTTTTGGTGCCTTTATACATGGCGGGTGCAGAAGAGAATCCAGATGCCACCATGAAGGAGACTGAGGAACTGGAACTTCGGATGTTCCAGAACTACTTTCCAGCGGGAATCGATCAGATCTCCACAGTGGCAAGCGAAGGGACCCTGGATGGCAGTGACAGGGGCCAGCCTACACCCCGCCTTGGATCTGGCAACAAGGGCCAGCAGCGTGGCAAGGGGCCCACACCAGAGGAGGAGAAAGATCCCTGGGCAAACTGGGGGTCGGCGAAACGTGGATGGCAACAGTGGGACCAGGAGAAGCAATCCCAAATTAACAGGGAGGCTTTGAGGGAGGAAATCAGGCAGCTCAAGGAGAGCATGTTCCAGCTGCAACGCCTCGCCTTGAGGCATGAGGATTACCTGGGAGGTTTTCGTCCGGAGACCTCGTACGCCATCTTCATGCGGATGGGCGTCCATGCCTCTGTGGTCCCAGCCATTTTTCGAGCCCAGCAAGCATGGCGAGAGCTGAAAGAAGCTGAGCCTGAAAAGGTAGACAAGCCTATGAGGGTCGCTCTTCTCAACTGCATTTTCATGGAGTTTGCAGGAAGGCTGGACAAACTGCCCCAGCAAGCTGGAACTCTTGAAAATCTCATTAAGTTGGGATGGATGAAGAAGGACACCCTGGACTGGTACTACCTTCGCTAGGATCCGAAAGTGGAGCGCCTCAAGCAAGACGAGACGAAAGAGCCACTCCCATTTGCCAAGGGCGTGGCTACGGTGGAGGCCATCCGTCTTCTTGTGAGCAGGACTGGTCCTGTCACCAGATTCCACCCGAGCCGGGGCATTGAGGAGGAAACGAAGGGCTCGAGTGTTACCTTCAGCCTGCAATTGGCTCTGTTTGATCCGGGTGCGGTGCAGCTCAGGGGATACCTGCAGGAGCTTACCAACAATGCCATCACCCAGATCATGGCCTTTGCCTGGCGCCCTGAGCGCCCTGGCCGCTCCCAAGTGGCAAATGGAGTCCAGAAGACCATGCAGGCTCCCTCCAGTCGCGGCAATGGTGGATATAATGGAGGTGGCCGAAGCAGTCGCTAAAGGCGACAGAGGCGTTCTCGAGAATGCCACCCTGTCCTGTTTTGCACATGTTATGTGCCGATCGGGCACAGCTCATCAAGGCCCTATCGGGGCACCTTTCGGCATTTTGTCGTCGCTATAAGAGCCTCCGACGCTGAGTGGCTGGTCTATGCCACCCCGGAACAAGAGGACTTGCACGGATCCAAAAATCTGCACAAAATATGAGCTGGCATGCATTCCTTTCAATGTGCCTTGTACATCTTATGTTGGCTTCATAGCTCTGTGTGCACCCAGGTTCGAACGAGTCCCTCATTGGAGTCTGATCTGGACCAGCTCGCCAACAATCCGCTGTCGTGCCCCACCTCTGCGTGATGCACCTCTTTTGAGAACATGTGTTAAAGTCCCTTGCAGCGCAATGCATGATGTTCATCCTGGATCAAGACATTGTGGCCGTGCGCTTCCTGATATGATCAGTGCCGTTACATTTGTTTGCAATGTGGGCGTGTTCGCTCAACTCGACCAAGCCTGATGGCGATGATTGCATTGATGTGCCGGACTCAGAACAGGAATGCTCCAACAGTGACGAGGCGCAACAACACTCGGCCTCTGCCCCTGCTGCCTGTGCTGGAAAGAGGAAGCGATACAAGGTGGAAGACTGGGCACATCGGTTAACTGCGCAGACCTCGGATGTCAGCTTCGAAGAACAAGATGCCTCGGCCCAGTCATCGTTGAGCCTCTACGAGAATACAGCTCACTCAGGCATTGTACTGGGCGGTGCTATGGACTGGGTTTGGAATCAACCACGTCCCACCGAGGCTCATGAAGCTCTGGCTCAAGGTTGTCTTCGAGTACGCTACATTCGATTTCAGCAACTGCGCCGACTTTTCAATATGCTCCCCACCAAGCTTCACACTCGTCATGTTTCGGACAGTGTAATACATGCGGATGCAGACCCGCGCTCTATCACTCTTGGTGCCTGCATTTATGGGGGGCAAAGCATCGGTTTTGAGCGTAACCATGGAGCTCCCCTGGGTCACGAGACTGCTTTGCTCCATTGTGAGGTCACTCTGCAGAGATGCATTGTTCAGCACGGTTTTCTTCATTTAAATGTTCCTAGTGGATTGCACAAAGACCCCCACAATCATCCTGTTATTGACAATGTCTTGATTCCGCTCAGCCAATGGCAAGGGGGTGAATTGTGGTGTCAGGATAAAGCAGGCACCTGTCAGCTGAGCTCGAATGGCCCAGCTGGTTCCCTGATTCCTATCACAATGCCAGCCACACGCTTTAATGCGAGGGTGTTACATGCAGTGCTGCCGTGGCAAGGAGAGCGCTTCACCCTGGGAGCATATCATATCCGGGATGACTGGCGAATCAGTGAAAGTAAGGCAAGTTTTCTTCAAAGCTTGGGCTTCCAGCTATGTTCACTGGATCTAGCCACCCGCGATCCTTACGAGGATACAGCCTAATTTGCACTGAATGCCTGGGCTCTTGCAGGAAAAGCCGACTGTGTGGTTGCAGCTGCGCCCAGCTAAAACCCATGCTCAGCTTGCTGGCCTGATGTGAAGGTACCTTCGAGCTACTCCATTGAGGAAATGACTGCCCTCCTGGGATGCTGACTTCTGCGAGATGCTCTTTACTCTCTTTTATGCCCAGAGTATGTTTTTCTGATGATGCTGAGATGTGAGGCTAAAGCTGTAAATATGCTGCACAAGTGCCTATCGGGCAACTGAAAATGCTGGTAGCATGAACGTCCGAAGTAAATCTTCGCCTCGTTACTGTACAGGTGAAAGTGCATTGCTCTTTGGGACTATCGGTCCGGATGCACTTTCCGCTACCAATGTTAATGTACCACAAGCTGTCGCTTGCTCGTTCGCCCTGGTCTAAGCTGTCCAAGGGATGGCCGGCCTTCCTAGGTCGCCCAAAGGGGCCACGCAAAGACGTCTTCGGATGTTTGCGCATCGAGAGAGAGCGAGTAGCAGTAGTAGTAGTAGTAGTAGTAGAAGTAGTAGTAGTAGTAGTAGTAGTAGTCGTGGTGGTGGTAGTAGTTGTGGTAATAGTAGTCGTCGTCGTCGTCGTCGTTGTAGTAGTAGTAGTAGTAGTAGTAGTCGTAGTAGTAGTCGTAGTAGTAGTCGTAGTAGTAGTAGTAGTAGTAGTAGTAGTAGTGGTTTGTTGTTCGAAGAATACAGGGAGGGAGGGCAACAACAAGGGTGTTGTTGTTCTTCTACCCATGTTGATCCAACGCTTGGTGTCGAGCAAGCTGGGCTCCAGGCGAGGATGATTCCCAGCCCCTCTTTGTAGGCTAGCTGAGATTTCACGAAGTAGCGTCTTCGCCCCCCGCCCCCTCGGTGCATGCTTTGGCTTCATGAGAATGCTGCAATTTGACAGAACCCCTCGGCTGTCGTTATTGTCACTAGCGAGTCGAACTAATGACAAAACCACATGTCCATGAGGAAGAATCCCACGCTGCTCGCATACCCCTTTTTAGGGTTTAGGCATACGCCCCCAACGCCGTAAAGCCCTAAACCCAATTTAAACCCTACGATCCAAGTCCCAACAACATGATAAGAACCAGACTCGAACCCAAAATCTTGAACCCTCTAGGCTCTTTGCGGCTCGATTGGATGAGGCCACTTCAGACGGGGCGCGGGTCAGTAGCGGGGCTTTTGGTTTAGGGGTTTGGGGTGACCAGGTTTCCTGGCACCTCGACAGCAGCGCCCTGCAAGATCTTGCAAGCACCCCGGAAGAAAATAAAACATGGATTGCAGGCCGAGGCGCTGTGCAGTGCTGAAGGGGTGTGGTGGGGGCGACAGGCCCTCAGGCCTCAGGAAGTACGTCCGCAATGCCCACAGGCACGGATCCGTGCTGTAAGCAAAGTGCACATCGCAGCTGCTGTCACCACACTGGTCTTGGCAGATTGGCAGAGGATGCACCGGGCCGCAGGGGTTGGAGGCGCGCCCAGCCCCTTCCCAAAGAGATAGCCAAGTCACATTGGATTTGCGATGGGGAGCAACTCATCCTCAAGGTTGCTTTCAACCGCCGGAATGACACTCTACACCCTTTCATGGTGCAAGGTTTCCGGGGTTTCAGGCTACGCTTCGGGGAGTAAGGCTTTGAGCATAAAGGTTATAAGGCAGGTCCTGAACCGACAGCGGGCCACAAGGTTTGGGGCCCCCTGCGTTCTCGAAGTCGCCAGGGTCACTGCAGTTGCCTGACCCGTGCTTAAGCGCCGAAATTACAAGCTGCAGGACTTATGTAAACGGTAGAAAGCAAGCCTAGGGTGTCCAAACCAGTGGTGGCGCCAGCCGTAGAAGCGGAGATCGTAGGAATAGTAGGCTTGAGTAATACATCCCGCCAACCCTAAAGCCCTGAACCGTAAACGCCGTAAACATTCACGAAAATTGCCTGGGCACCCAAAAGTATTGGTGGAACGGCGCTTCTATGGAACTGCAAGGGACTGAAGCAGTTTCCCAAGTTGTCACCTAGTTGTGTAAGCTCACAAACCCAGAACTTCCAATCGGAGCATCTTGGCTGACGGTTCCGACGGCCTGTGCTTCCCCAAACCATAAAGAAACCCCAAACCCTCAATCAAGGCGTGGCACCCTCTGCGCCGGCAGCAAGGTCCAGCCGCTCCCGATCAATGATGTCTCCGGCTATAGGCTTAGTTTTTTTCCTTGTGTGTACGGCGTGTTTGCTTCTCGTTTGAAAGCCCGACTGGGACCATTTAAAATGAGCTGCGATATCACCCACCGATGCAAACCATCTTTCACAAGCATCTGCAAGCTGTACCTTGTGCTAACTATTCAACAACCAGTTGCATACAAAACCCTGAGTACAGAAACAGGCCCCTAGAACCTGCGATCAATATCCTCCAGCAACAGAAACAGCTACAACGACGACAACAACATCAGCAGCGGCACATTTGTGAAGCCAAAGTTCCCGACCTGGCACGGCTGGTCCAACTGGTGTTGGTAGCAGCCAGCCTTGATGAGAAATATATGAGTATAGAAATGTTGACTGCGAGGTTTACACCGCAGGCATTCGAGAATGTAGGTTACCAAGTATGTGGCTGGAACGATTTAGGCTTAGGGTATTACGTTCAAGTTGGATCCAACGTAGTACTAAGCATCATGATTTCTGTCAGCATTTGTATCTTTGAAGTTTCAATTCTCCGGGATCTGTGTTTTTTTGCAGCCACGCCGAAAATCCAGATGTTGCAAAGATCTACACATCTTCAAGGTCACCACAACCACAGCTGCAACCAGAGAACTAAAACCATGACTCGTTGAACCATACAGTCCAAATCCCAGGACAAAGTAAGTTCAATCCCGCATTCGGAAGACAGGACCTTTTGGGGTGCAGGTTTGGGTTCAGTGTCCATCTGCACAAAAAAGGAACGCCACGAAGGTTTCCCAAAGACGTGCGACCAGACTCTACATCCTTGCAGTCCAGAGCCCAGAAGCATTCGACCTTAAAGTTGCACTTCAGAGCGTCAGTTCCTACACCATACAGCTTCCGACAAAGCCTTGAACCCTGAGGCTAAGAAGCAGCAGCCACAGCAGCAGTGGCAGTGGCAGCCGCAAGTGGCAGCCTCAATGGAAGTGAGTAGGAGGAGGAGCTGTGGTGCTGTGGTGCAGTACTGCAGTACTGTGGAGCTGTATGTGCTGTAAGGATGTATTGCTGTAGTGGTGATGTAGTACCGCTGTAGTACTGCGGAAGTCATTGTAATTGC